ATGCTTTGCTTGCTTTTCTTACAGTGTGCTTCAATGGAATTGCAACAGAAGTTACTTCTGAGTGACCAAGCATGAGATCTTAAGGCTCAGGGCACTTCCACACAGCTCTATAACCCAGAATATCAAGGCAGAAAATCCCACAACATCTGATTTGAACTGGGTTATTTGAGTCCAAATTGCCATATATAAATTACTAACTGGAGCGACATACAGGGAACATACCACCCCCTTGTTATGTCAGCTCCACTGGCTGCCGGTCCATCTCTGAGCCCAATTCAAAGTGCTGGTTTTGACCTATAAAGCTCTATACAGTTCTGGCCCAGCTTACTTATCCAAATGCATCTGCCCCTACATCCCATCCCGTAACCTAAGATCATCCAGGAAGGTCCTGCTCTCGCTTCCATCTATTTCGCAAATGTGTCTGACGGGAACGAGAGACAAGGCCTTCTCGGTTGTGGCCCCCCACCTATGGAACGTGCTCCCAAATGATATAAGATTGACTCCATCCCTCCTGGCTTTCAGAAAAAATTGAAATCATGTTTTTGGGACCAGGCTTTCAGGCAGCAGACATAATTAGCGCTTTAGTTGGACATTGACTGGAATTGGTGCTACAGCAGATGATACTGTGATATTATTTATTTATTTATTTTCATCATTTTTTACCCTGCCCATATTAGCCCAAGGGTGACTTATAATGTTCTACTGTTTTAATTAATGTTGTATGTACTGTTTTTAATGATTGCTTATGTATTTAATTGTGGTTATATTATTGTAATTGTTGTGTAGCAACATTGTATCGTTACTAAATGTTAGCTGTCCTGAGTCCCCCTTTGGGGGTAGAGAAGAGACAAGGTAGAAATACCAGAAAGAAAGAAATAATAATAAATATTCCAGTTCAAAGCAGAAAATGTGGGATTTTATTCAGCTGTGTGGAAGGGGCCCTAATCAGAGTGAAAAGTGTTTCATTGGAATTGGGTTATGCCCTTGTTCTTTGTTTTTAACAATCTACTCTTTTGTTTATTTCATTGCATTGAGTTATAAAATTATGCATTTGTTGTGGTATGGAATTCATTTTTTATGCACCTTTAACTCACATATTGTGACTCCCATGATTTTCATAGCCATGAATTTCATAGGGATTCTTAGGCAAGGAGTAGACTATTCAGAAGAGTTTTTGTCAGTTCTTTCCTCTTAAATATAATCTACAGCACCTAGTATCCCTTGATGGTCTCCCATTTAACTACTAATCAGAGCTATGTTGTTTATTCGTTCAGTCTTCTGACTCTTCATGACCTCCTGGACCAGCCCATACCAGAGCTCCCTGTCGGCTGTGGCCACCCCCAGCTCTTCCAAAGTCAAGCCAGTCACTTCAAGGATATCATCTATCCATCTTGCCCTTGGTTGGCCCCTCTTCCTTTTTCCTTCCATTTTCCCCAGCATCATTGTCTTCTCTAAGCTTTCCTATCTTTTCATGATGTGGCCAAATCTCATGATGTAATACAAATCCAGTGGGTGTAAATTTGGCTCCTTCCTCTGAAATACAGCCCACAACAATTTGCATTTGTTGGTAGTCTCTCATCCAATGACTAACCAGAACTGATCCTGCTTAACTTCCAGGATCAGAGGACATCTTGTGCTTTTAGGATATTTAAGCCTTATGGAATTACACATATATCATATCATGTAGAACGAAATGGTTCAGTGCATGTGTGAGTGTACGGTGGCTCTCAGTATCTGCTGGTCAGGGGCGGCTCAACCCATTACGCAAAGTAAGCACTTGCAGTATAGTTGATTTTGCCCAGGGGCGCTCTTGAGGTGCTCTTGGGGAAAAATAGACCTTGACATATGCGAGTTGTAGTTACTGAGATGTATAGTTCACCTACAATCAAAGAGCATTCTGAACTCCACCAATGATGGAATTGAACCAAATATGGCACACAGAACTCTCACGACGAAAAGAAAATATATATCAGTGATTGGTTTTGGGGGGGGGGGCAAAATACTGTTTGCTTACCATTGAAAATTACCTAGGGCCGCCTCTGCTGCTGGTGCTTGGTTTCAGGACCCTCAGTGAATACCAAAATCATGGATACTCAAGTCCCACTATATACAGAGGTATAGTAGAATGGTATTCCTGATATAAAATGTCAAAACCAAACACTTGATAATCTTTTTGAAAAATATTTTCCAGCTGTAGATGGTTGAAACCATGGATACCGAATCTGTGAAACAGCAGGCCAACTGCACTTGTTTGGACAGTTAGATGGATAGATAGATGGATATAGATAATATCTCATCATATCCTTTCCTGTCACTGAAAAACCAAAATGAAAGGAGTCATGAGGGAGGGCGAAAACAGAGAGAGAGGAAAGAAGAAAAGAGGGAGAGACTGAAAGAGAGAGGAGCAGCACAGCCCTTCCACAGCTTTGATCTTACATGCCAAAAGCCAGCTCAGTGTTATGGCTGAGTAATAAATCCCTTTAAGATGTTATTTGACTTTGTAATGGAAATGTTGACAGACGTTTCACCACAGCCGCGGAAGTGGGCAGTGTTATAATGCAGCACACAGTCAGGTCCATAATTGCTCCTGACTGGCACGTCATCCGGAGCGTTCCTAGCGCTGGCCACTGGGCAGCGTTTGTTAATACATCTCCTTTCACCTGAAACAAATGGGGTCTAATTAGCTCAATCTGAAAAATCAGTGCTCACCCGTAATATGATTAATAGGCACTTTATATTCTGTGAAGATTAAATGGATGGAAAGAATTTATGAGGAAATAATAGATTTAGTCTTTCTTTTTCTAAAAAAAAAAAAAACAACCTCCCAGCCATTTCTTCCATGTATGCATACTTGTATACATGTGTGCAGTGTGTAGACATATGTAATTGGGAAATCCTTTACATAGCTGCCGTCCTAGAACAGTAAATGTTCCAGGTATCCTAGGATATTTTAGCAAACATCTTCTCTTTAACATAATATGAGGCCAATCACTGATTGACTTGTTTATCAAATTTGTGCACTTTTTCAAATGTAGATCTTAAGGAAATATTGTCCTATTCCACTGATCTCTGTCTGTCAACTCTACTTATGTTTACATGTTAAGTCACTGCTAACAAAATGAGACTCTGGTTTTGATTGACATTCCATGGAATGATTTGTAAGAGACACAATAATTTCAAGCAAAGCCCAGAATTCTTTCATCTAGTTATAAATGAGAATCTAAATATAAGCAGAGTAGTTATCTCTGGTACATGGGGACAATAATAATAACAATAATAATTTTGTTTTTGTACCCCATCTCCATCTCCCCGAAGGGACTCAGGGAGGCTTACATGGGGACAAGTCCAACAACATAATTAAAATAGCACATTAGAATTCAGTAACAACATCATAAAACAATATAAAACAACCAGATATATAACACAATATCAAAACCAACGAACAACAATCAGTGGCCTGAAATAGTAACAGTTTCTGATCTCAAACAGGCAGGCTGATGCAATCTATTGAGAGGACAGGGCTAATGGATAAAGTGCAAATACCAGATGACAAAACTAGGGATGAAGGGCAAAATAGGGTGGAGCCGTCTAATCAAAGGCACAGTGGAACATTCCTGTCTTTAGTTCTTTGCGAAAGATGGACAAAGAGGGTGCCGGCCTAACAAGCGGACATCCAAATGACCTGAAAGGTCTACTTTAAAATTTGGATTCCTAAGAGATCCAGTGAAGAATCTCTAACACAAAGTCTGTCTAACACAAAATAGGTTGGTATGATCCGGCAACCCTAGGTTGTTGTCCTTTTCCATTTACTGATATAAATGGAAAATTATTAGTAGCTAATTACCAAAAATGAAACCCTGTGGATGCAGCGTTGTACTAAGACTATGGAAGACAGGAGTTCAAACCCACACTCAGCCGTCCAACCCATCAGAAACCTTAGGCAAGCCACATTTTCTCAACCTGATTAAACCCATTTTTCAACCTCAAAAGAACACAATAGCAAAACCCACTCTGAATAAAGCTTCCCAAGAAATCCCCATGAGAGGGTTGACATAGGATCAGCTTAATTCAGAAACAACTTGAATAATAGAATCATAGAATCATAGAATCAAAGAGTTGGAAGAGACCTCATGGGCCATCCAGTCCAACCCCCTGCCAAGAAGCAGGAATATTGCATTCAAATCACCCCTGACAGATGGCCATCCAGCCTCTGTTTAAAAGCTTCCAAAGAAGGAGCCTCCACCACACTCTGGGGCAGAGAGTTCCACTGCTGAACGGCCCTCACAGTCAGGAAGTTCTTCCTCATGTTCAGATGGAATCTCCTCTCTTGTAGTTTGAAACCATTGTTTCACGTCCTAGTCTCCAGGGAAGCAGAAAACAAGCTTGCTCCCTCCTCCCTGTTGTGAAAGGACACAACAATTATGGAAAAGTATTCAACACACTAGTGTGGTCTAGTGGATTGAGTGTTGGACTAGCTACCTTATCGCATTGAGAAATTTTCCCCTGGTAGGACACTTCAGCCTCTTTTTAAGTATGGAGAGGCACAGAGCTTATCACATGTTCCAGAGTTGAAAAGAGGCAGAAATGACCTGAAAGGAGGAAACTCTGAACATGGGCCAGCAATTGTGCTCCTACTTCTTATCACACTTTACTCTCATGTTTACATCTGAAAAAACAGGTGCAATGGGAACCATTACAGTGTCCCATCCTGTTGCATTTCTCCACCATCAGCAATAGTTTTAACCTGGATCATTGTCTCTTGTATGCTATAGGCTTTGACGCAGAAACATAGAACCCATGGAAAACAATGGTTTTAACCTGGATCACTGTCTCTTGTATCCTATGGGCTTTGATGTAGAACCATAGGATCACATGGAAAGAAATTGTTTAAAACTGATGTCAGTCTCCTTTAATGTAAGGGGCTTTAGACAGAGCAAGGGATCTCTTGGTTTTTGGATATCGTTGTTTCTCCTGATTAAAAGCAAAAAAGTAATACTGACCTTGTGATGAATGTGAGATGAATGTATGCCAGCTCTTAAGTTTCCATGTGTGAGTGTGATGGGGAGGCAGAATGTGAAACCAGACTGCTAACAATATAAGAGGGACAATTCTCTACTCTTAAAGTGACAGTCACCCATGCTTTTCCCCTCTCAATGTGATGAGGTGGTTGGACTCTGAAAGACTAGGGACTAAATCTGTGTTCAACCATGCAAACTCATTGGGTGAACTTAAGCAGGTCACACACTCTCAGACTCAAAGGAAGGCAATGACAAACCTCCTCTGGATAAATGTTGCCAAGAAAATCCCATAAGTTTGCATTTTTATCAGAAGTCAGAAACAACTGGAAGGCACACAACAAATATTAATATAGAGTTGGAAGATGACATAAGGGCCATCCAATCCAACCTCTGCAATGCAGGAACACACAGTCAAAGTACTCCTGACAGCCATCCAGTCTCTGTTTAGGAATCTCAAAAAAAGAGACTCCATCACAATCCCAGGCAATGTATTCCAATAGTGAACAACTCTTACCATCTCTTGTTTTGCAGTTTGAGTCTGTCACTTTGGGTTCTAGAGCATGTATGAGTAAATGCTGCAATTAAACTGTTGGGGCAAGTTACAGAATCTGATGGTCCTATGTGTAGTTTTAGTTTGGCTCAGAGTGTTGTTGGTTGAATATAGAATACACATAATCATGCTTTTGCTCCTAGAGAGCTCCCCTTCTAACTCCCAAGCCTAGATCCCATAACTATAGAGACCGAGAACTGTGCTGGTGGCATGTTTTTGAGCTGTGGTAGCCTTACCCTCCCTCTGATTTCAAGATGCACTGTCCTGGAATTACTTGTTTGTGCAGACAGGCTTTTACCCTTTGGATAAAACTGAAACAATAGATTTTTATTTCATGATTGTGTGTAAGCCGGAGTGTGTATGTTCAAGCTGGTTGGCCCAGTCTTCCCATCTCCACTCCCCTCTTTTCCCCAAAGAGATGAACTTCGGAATGCAAGAGTGTCAGGTGGACATTCTACAGCTGTTAAGGAACCATGTGTCAACTTTATTTACTAAAGTATATGATGATAATTATGGTCTCAAGCATGCGGGAGGCGAGAGCGCAAGCAGAATGGACATACATACTTAATGATTTTACTCTCCAGCATTCAGAATCAGTAAGAACAGTGTGTGTCGCTGGAGACTTGTCGAAGCAGCCCTGGCAAGCTGTCTGTGTGGAACCCAGCAATGACTGTATGTGGCAGTGTGCATTCAAAGTAAAAAATTAATTTACAAATGGGTTTCAAGGTACACAGCAGATGGAGGAGCAGCAAAGTCCCAACCAGTCAGCCTTCTCTTTTAACCCTTGGGTTGACAGTATATAGGCAAGCTGCAGAAAGATAATTGGAGGCTTCTGGATCTAATCTATTTTTCTTTCTTACTGTTTAAAAAAGTTCCATTACTTTAAAAGCGAAACACCTGTAATTTTATGGCTTGCTATGAAATACTTGTAACAGCGCATACAGAAGACAGATGTGCATCTGGAAACATGGAAACTGTTTCAGATTATATAAACAGACATGGAGAGAAACCAGTAGAATTTTGCGGAAATCTGAGACTATCCCAGAAACTAGGGAGCTATATTGGTGACCAGAATTTGAAAAAGTTACTCTTGTGGACTCTAGAATACATACCCTTTGCCAGCATGGCCAAGCTTAATTCCTGATCTCTTTTCCAGGTCTCTGGAGTTTGGCAAACAGGAAGAGGGAAACACTTTGCATGAATGCTTGGGGGCGGGGAGGGGTTGGCGGGTGGCTTGAGGATTAGGCCTCGGGTGTTGTGGCAATGTCTATGTAGGACAACTGATGGTGAATGGTGAGGGGATCATTGCAGTAGTTGTTTCCTTGCTAAGGGATGTAAGGGGGTTATACCTGCACAAAACAGAAAGTGGTTGTTCTGCTAGAAGAGCAGTTATAGCAATTTGAGTCCTGTATATCATTATCTAGACTTCAGCTTGTCAGGGTGCATAAAACTCTTTTGAAGGTAGCAGAGCATACTATCCAGTGAATGCACTGTTGACATTCTTCATGGTGCACAGCAGCTTCCAAGTGAATATCCTTGGCTTTAAACCAATTTTGCCCCAATACAGTTTGGTTGAAATTCTGGACTATCTCAGGGTTTGGGGACAGTTTGGACAGTTGGATCAGCTCCTTTCTTTCTTGCTGGTCACATGTGCACCCCATTCTGATATCATCAGATGTGACAGTAGCCAGGTACTTGGACAGAGCTCCATGTCCAATTAAAAGCTGCAAAAATGGAAGGTCCAACACAATCCTCCCTTGCTTTCCATATAATTTCATTGTCTACTGCAGGGGTCCTCAAACTAAGGCCCGGGGGCTGGATACGGCCCTCCAAGGTCATTTACTCAGCCCTCGCTCAGGGTCAACCTAAGTTTGAAATGACTTGAAAGCACACAACAACAAAAACAACCCTGTCTCATCAGCCAAAAGCAGGCCCACACTTCCCATTAAAATACTAAGAAGTTTATATTTGTTAAAATTGTTCTTCATTTTAATTATTGTATTGTTTTATGTTTTTTGCACTATGAATAAGATATGTGCAGTGTGCATAGGAATTCATTCATGTTTTTTTCAAATTATAATCCTGCCCTCCAACAGTTTGAAGGACTATGACCTGGCCTGCTGTTTAAAAAGTTTAAGGACCGCTAGTCTAGTGGAAGAGGCAAAAGGGAATCAACTACTTTGGATTTCATCCTTATCAACTGAGTGAATGGTTCAACAGGGTAGTAATGGAATGCTTGGATGGGAGTGACCACATTCTCCTGAAATTTGTTATACAGAGCAAAGAGGAACCAAACTCTTGACTTCATAAAAGCAGATTTAAGTAACCTTAGGGAAATACTGGTGAAATCCCATGGTCAGAAATGGGAAAGGAATTCATGATACATGGGTGTTCCTTAAAGATGAGATATCAAATGTACAATTTCAGGCAATTCCAATGAGGATGTAAAATAGAAAGCTTCTAAAGAAATCAGAATTGATGCAGAATTGATACAATAGAAAAGGGGGGAAACAAACAAAGACAAAATAATGGCTACTAGCCATCAGAAAAAGCAATGTTCAAGATGATGTCAGGCTTATGAAAGAGGCCAAGAATAATAAAGAGAATTATGTTCAGAACAAGGGGAAGAACAAGGCAATAGTAAAGCCATTGTGTAGAGAAGATGGTGAGATGTGGGGGCAGTCAGTATTCAGTCAGTACCTTCTTTGCTTCAATTTTCTCTAAAAAGAAAAAAACAATGTTCCTGCTTGTGAAAATAGAACAAATGATGCAGTAAGGGGATTACAACACAGAGTATGTAAAGAGATGGTAAAGGAATAATCCATTCCTTGTTTAAGTATCTAGGATCAGATGAACTGCAGCCAAAAGTACTCAAGGAACTTGGAGATGTTCTTCTTCATTTCAATAGTTTGCTACTATCTGTGGTTTTGCAGGGCCAATGTCAACAACAGCCTTTGAAAACTACTGAAGGGCAGAAAATGTCCCCAATATCAAGCAGTCAGCTTGATGCTGATACCAGTAAAGGTTATAGAACATTTAACAGCCAGTCAGTCTGTACACATTTAGAAAGGAATGCTGTGATTATTAAGAGGCAGAAAGGGATTCTCAAAATGAAAAGCCATATCAAACTAATCTCATTTTTAAAAAAGAAAGGAAGGAAGGAAGGAGGGAGGGAGGGAGGGAGGGAGGGAGATAACAGAGCTACAAACTTGGTGGATCTGGGGAATGCTGAGGATGTAGTATATCCTGGATTCAGTGAGGCTTTTGACAAGCCTCACTGTCAAAAGCCTCACTGAAGTTTCTGCTTGCAAGGTAAAATATGCTAGACCACTCTGGTCACTATTAGGTGGATCTGCAATTGCTTGACCAACCATATCCAGAGAGTAATCACTAATCACTGCTCTTCAGAAGTGACTAGTGAGGTGCCTCAGGGTTCTGTTCTAGGAATAACATTGTTCAAAATCTTTATAAATGAATCAGAATAAAGGACAAGTTTATCAAATTTGCAGATAACATTAACTTATGGTGACCCTTTACATGAGATCTTGAAGAGATATTCTTATTAGGTATCTTGCTAAGTTCTCAGAATGGCTCCCTTTATTAGGTCAATCAATCTGTTAGAGATTCTTCCTCTTTGTTTTTTGCCTTGCACTCTCCCAAGCATTATTGTGCTTTCTGTTGAGTCATGCCTTTTTATGATGTGACCAAAGCACAAAAGCATTAGTTTAATAGCACAGGCTTCTAGGGAGAGCTGAAGCTTGATTTGCTCTCATACACTTTTATTTGCCTTTTTGGTACAGTGTACAGTGATACCTTGAATTAAAAGTTTAATTCATTCCGTAGCTGAGCTCGTAACTCAAATTGCTTTTAACTCAAAGCAAATTTTCCCATTAAAATACATTGTTAATCTATTAATCTGTTTTGGCCCCTCAAGCTCCCCCTCCCCAGTATTTTTGTTACATATCTTAAATAAGAAAATGAACTTTATAAATAACAAATAATGTATAAATGCACATTCACATGAAACAATTTTAAAAAGTTCAACTTTAAAACGGTAGAAGCACAAAGTTGTAGCAAGGAAGCTCAAAGCATGAAGTGAGATGGGCAGAAGCATCATCTTCTTCATACTGTACTCATTCCAGCCTCTCTCTCTCTCTCTCTCTCCCTGTCTCTTCATGAAGCCAAACATACCAGGAATAAAAACTATACAAAATCAACGAACGTTTCTCAAAGAGTACAAGAGCAAATTGGATAGCAATCTCCAAAGCAGACAAAAGCATGAGGCACAGAGGCACAAATGCTGTTCCTTAATAGAGAGCATTCTGAGAGCAGTTCTGAAAGCAGTTGCATTTTTGCTGGGATTTGCTTAGAGAACTGGGATTGGTTTGAACACTAGGGGCTTGCATCTCAAACTCCGTGAAGTCCCAACTTCTGATTTAAGAGATTTTGAAAAATAAAGCAGCTGGAACATTTGGAAAACAAAATCTGGAC